GGGCCATAATTTAATTTGATTATTAATTTTATTTAATTTAAAAACACATATACTCTGCCTTTCCACACCGTATGAGGTGCTTCAGGTACTTCACAAACATAAACAATCTGCTTGGATATTCAGGTTCCAAGCAGGTGGAAATCACAGGAGTTAATACTTCTGCACAAAAAAATGTCCTGATACACCTGAAGGTAGATCACCTAGAACTCTCCTCCTTAACACCTCTTTTCTCTTTGGAAGGAATTTGGAGGGTAGTGTTTTGTATGAACTATGATTAAATCAGGCCAATTAAAGTGGCACAGGAGAAGAGCAGGCATGCCACATCAGTGGGAACTATGTTGTTGTCTAGCGAGTCAGAACTCCAAAACCTACAAGAGAAAGAACATACAGCTCACAGGGGCCTCATTTGATCGCATTAACCTGAAACGGCTGACAGATGCTAATGGATAAATGAAAGCCCAAAGCTTGCCATTATTCTTCACTGTGCCTTCTCTTGTTCTCAGCATGGTGTGCCTCCTCCATGGCTACTGAAATCTGTTGCTGCACAGGTTCTTCTGGAGGAAATTGGGTTGAGGGGAGAAGCAGGTGGAGAAATAGTCTGCTATACAGTACTCAGCACTGCACCTGAAGAATAGCATCCATGCGACCCTCCAGGTGTAGTAGACTTCAACTCCCCTTATCCATCAATGCTGGTTGGAGATGATGGGGGTTGTAGTCCAACACAACTAGAGGTTACCATCTTGATGAGGGAAGAGTCCACTCTGCAGTGGAAGAATGGCATTAAGACCTTTGCCCTTCAGCTACTTTCCCATGCAAGGTAATAAACATTCATGGGGAACCCCAACAAGGGGGATGAGGTTACAGGGGAAGAGAAAAGCTTCTCTACTGTAAATCACACCCTCCCACTTCCGCTTTGCAAACTCTTCCTTGGGGACATCATCATCATCATCATCATCATCATCATCATCATCATCATTATTATTATTATTATTATTATATTATATTTCTATGCCGCCCCTTGCCGAAACCTCGGGGCGGCTTACAACATGATAAAATACATTGAAATACAATAGTACATAATAAATTACCATTAAATATAACAATACAAAAAATACATTGATTTACAAATACAAAATTAAAATTATCAGTATAAAATAAAAATATAGGAGGAGAAAGAGAAGGAAGAAGAAGTTGCCCAGGCCAGATCATATGTTTTAACAATTGAAATGATGTTTAAATAAAAAGGTCTTTACCTGGCGCCGAAAAACCAGTAACGACGGTGCCAGGCGGACCTCTTTGGGGAGTGAATTCCATAGGTTGGGCGCCACCGCAGAGAAAGCCCTCCTCCGGGTACTTACTCTCCTAATTTCTTTCATGGAGGGTTCCCGGAGAAGGGACTCTCCCGCAGATCTCAAAGGGCGGTCGGGCATATACGGACGTAAGCGCTCGTTCAGGTAGCCAGGACCCAAGCCGTTTAGGGCTTTGTAGGTCATAATCAACACCTTGAATTGGGCCCGGGCTTCAATGGGAAGCCAGTGAAGCTGATGGAGGACTGGAGTCATGTGAGCATAATGCCCCGTCCCCGTCAGCAACCTGGCAGCTCTATTTTGCACCAATTGAAGTGTTCGGACTGTCTTCAGGGGAAGCCCCACGTAAAGCGCGTTACAGAAGTCTAGGCGGGAAGTCACCAGCGCGTGTGTCACCGTCGCCAGGCAGTCGTATTCCAGGTAGGGGCGCAGCTGATGAATCAGCCGAAGCTGAAGGAAGGCGTTCCTCGCTACCGCTGTCACCTGAGCTTCCAAAGAAAGCTCCGGGTCGAGGAGTACTCCTAAGCTGCGGACCTTATCCCTAAGAGGGAGTGTTGCACCATTCAGGACCAGGTCAAATCCACCCTCTCCGAAACCCGATCCGCCAACCAACAGGACCTCCGTCTTGTCTGGGTTGAGTTTCAGTTTATTGGCCCTCATCCATTCCCTTACCTCGGCCAAGCACCGGTTCAGCACAGCCACTGCCTCACCTGGATTAGTGGAGAATGAGAGGTAAAGCTGGGTATCATCAGCGTATTGATGATTCCGCAGCCCACACCTCCTGATGACCTCTCCCAGCGGTTTCATATAGATGTTAAATAGCAGAGGGGATAGAATGGAGCCCTGTGGTACCCCATGGCATAGCTGCCATGACATAGAGACATGGTCCCCCAGCACTACCTTCTGGAATTGACCGTCGAGATAGGAGCGGAACCACTGCAAAGCAGTGCCTCCAACCCCCAATCCCGCAAGTCTATCCAGAAGGATACCATGGTCGATGGTATCGAAAGCCGCCGAGAGGTCCAGAAGAACCAACAGGGATGTACTCCCCCTGTCCTTCTCCCTGCACAGGTCGTCGTACAGGGCGACCAAGGCAGATTCAGTACTGTACCCGGGTCTGAAGCCGGACTGAAAAGGATCCAGATAATCAGTTTCCTCCAAGAGTGCTTGGAGTTGTCCCGCCACCACTCGCTCCAGCACCTTGCCCAGAAACAGGATGTTGGCCACAGGTCTATAGTTAGTGGCCATCTCTGGATCCAGTGACGCTTTCTTCAGGACCGGTCGTATTACCGCCTCCTTTAAAGGGGCAGGCACTCGACCCTCCCTCAGAGAAGCGTTAACCACTTCCAAGATCCAGGTCCCAATCCCGTGCTTGGAGTTATTTATTAACCAAGACGGGCAAGGATCCAATAGGCAAGTGGTGGGACGTACTCTTCCAAGCACCTTGTCCACATCATTGGGCCGCAATAATTGAAATTCCTCCAGTAATTTTGGACCAGACGGTGGCATTGGCGACTCCTCAGAGACCTCTGATTCATTAGTGGAGTCCAGCTCGTGACGAATCTGAGCGATTTTCTCCCTGAAATGCCTGGCAAAGTCGTCACAGCGGGCCTTTGAGGGTGGCATCGGATCTTCCTTAGGACCCAGGCGAACCAGGCCTTGCACCACTCAAAAAAGCTCCGCTGGACAGCATTGTGAGGAGGCAATGGAAGCGGAAAAAAACTTCTTTTTCGCCGCCTTCACCGCCACAGCATAGGCCCGATAGTGGGCTCTCAAGTGTGTTCGGTCAGATTCATCCCGTGATTTCCTCCACCTACGCTCTAGCCGTCTCCCAGCTCGCTTCATCACCCGTAATTCAGGTGTATACCAAGGGGAAGAGCGGACTCTGCCCGGTGGGAGAGGACGCTTAGGAGCGATCGTGTCCACAGCCCTGGTCATCTCTCCGTTCCACAGTTTGACCAGAGCCTCGACAGGAGCACCAGTCTTGTCCACCGGAAACTCCCCCAGGGCCCCCAGGAATCCATCCGGATCCATCCGGCTCCGGGGGCGGGCCCATACAATCGGGTCTGCACTCTTATAGAGGGAGAGGCCGCTCTCGAGCACAAACCTCACCAGGAGGTGATCTGACCATGACAGGGGAGTCAAACATAAGTTCTTCACCCTCAGGTCATCCTCTACCTGCCCCGTCGTGAATACCAGGTCCAGAGTGTGTCCACGTTAATGGGTAGGGCCAGTGACGTGTTGAGACAGGCCCATGGCCGTCATAGAGGCCATGAAGTCCTGAGCCGCCCCGGTCAGTCCAGACTCGGCATGGAGATTGAAGTCCCCCAGGACCAACATCCTGGGGGTCCTCAACACCAGATCCGAGACGGTCTCTGTCAGCTCAGATAGGGAGACTGCTGGGCAGAAAGGTGCACGGTACACCAATAGAATCCCCAATCTGTCTCGTTCGCCCAACACCAAGTAGAGGCACTCCAGCCCTGGTCTCAAAGGGACCGGAAGACCCGTGAGAGAGATGGAGGCTCTGTAAACCAACGCGACTCCCCCTCCCCTCCCTTCTGGGCGTGAACAGTGTTGAACCAGATACCCGGGCGGGCACAACTGGGAGAGGGCAACATCCCCTCCCTCTCCCGCCCAGGTCTCCGTTATGCAAGCCAGGTCAGCCCCCTCATCCACAATCAAGTCATGGATGAGGGAAGATTTATTATTGATCGACCTGGCATTGAGCAGCAGCACCATCAGACCCGAGGGGTGGTTGACAAGGCTACCTGGCGCCCTCTGGTTGGGGGCAGGATCAGAAGGAGGGACAGGTGTCAGCCATCTGTCCATCCTTCTTCTACGTGGACACGTTAAGCCCCTATTGTTGTAACGACCATTGCCCGTGACCACGCCAATAGCAGCCCCCGTGGGTTCCCCAGGATATATAAACGTCGACATGGCCAGGAATGACTCAAAGCACTAATTAAAGCAGGGTAAGATTATAAAGTAGGTCGGAGGAGGAGAAAAAGAACGACATGGCTTTGCACAAAGACTATTTAAATACAGTGGATTGTATCCATTGTTAGTTTAACTTGATTCATTTCAATGGGTTAAGTCTAAGTAGGACTAACAGGGTGTTTTACAAACACAAGGTCACATAATCATATTTTGCAAACTTAACAAAAGTGGCCACTGTTAAGGCATTTTCTTAATACACAACACATTCTGAAGTGTATACTATAATATGTAACATTTAGCAATAAATTAAGTTGCTCTCAGGCACTGCTCCTTCTCATTTTAAGAAGTTCAGTTGACAAGAAATGCCCACCTTGGATCAAGCAGCGTTTGTGACTAATTTGGCTGTTTCATTTTTGCATCACTTGATTGCAACTGGGAACTGGATTTTGACACAAAGGATACCATTATTATCTGATACATAGTGCAGAAGCAGGATTATAAACCCAGAAATTCATTTATTTATTAAGTTTATATACTACTCAACTGGGAGATGCCCTCAAAGCAGTTCGTAATCATAACTGAAAAACACCAAAGAAACAAAAACACAACAATACAACAAGTAAAAGAAATACAACAATGAAAATTTCAAATTATTAAAACATGCAAAATAAAAATAATTATTCAAATAATACAAATGCATATTTTCCCATTTGCTACAAAATAGCAATTCACATTTGAATCTCCATTTTGGGGGTATCAAAGAAAGAAAGCACTTCAATTGGTTTTGATCAATTTAATGGATACTCCGGTACCAAATAGTTTGCTCTGGGATACAGATTTCTGGGAAGCCATAAATAAATAAATAAATAAAATGTCAAAGGATGTAGAATACAAAAAAAGATTGCCTACCCAGTGACATAATCCAATCCCATATAAAGCTGGGTTTAAAACATTCACTGCACAAGAGAGATTCATAGAACTAGCAAGGTACAACAGTTATTTTCCATTCTGATTTCACACTTGTAGCCTCAGGCCGACAGGCATCTTTCAAGGGCCAAGAGGAGTTCACACACCAACTGAAAATAATGCTGTCAACACAGACACACTGGACGCAGTCAAATGGACATGTAGGCACTAGCATGGTTTGGAAGTCCTTCTCAGCCCTCTAGAAAGCTACAGGACGATGGGGCCTGGCTTGTTTTGCTGAAAGCCACGTGCTGCAAGAGTTAGTACGGCACAATGCAGCCATTACGTACTGCACAACAGCACATCCGCAAAGGGCCCAAGGAGATTTTTGTTGAAAATGCAGCGAATCCACACCAGGTAGTTCGTGAAAGGCTTGATGTTGTCTGAAAAGGTATGATTCTGATGGGACAAGATGTAAGGCATGTACGTGTTTTCCCCTTGCTCCTGGATCCACACCTCATATCTCACTTCCCTGACCTTCAGGTATTTAAGGTTCCAAGGTATCTGCCAAGACACAGAGAGTTTAGCTTCACTGGTACCCTGGACAGAGGCTTGGCATTTAGCATCGCGGACTTTGCCTGGGTAGAGACCTTGAGTCCACTTTTGCCTCTTTGGCCCAGGCTTTGTTTTCACTGTCTGTCTGATTGTCTGGATAAGGGAAGCAGTGTTGATTTTTGTGTCCTGATAGATACGGAAAAGCCACTCTGGGTTCCGGCAACAGAGATGCCGGGGAACTTCCCTGCTTTTTGTGATGCGGTCTTGTTCTGCCTTGTCCAAGTGAGCAATTCCTCCTTGATCCCAGGGCCTGTCTGCGTGGGTTACACTGTTCTCCTTCTCAGTGTTCTGCCAGGCAATGTACTGAAGGTCCATGCCAGGAAGGGTAGACAATGTTTTATAAGGTGTGTAATGCTCAGGGTTTATGGCGTAGGGGAAAAGCTCCACCACAGTAGCTCCTCTTGGCAGGAAGAGAGACATCACTAGTTGGGCTCCATGCATGCTGACAAGCATGGACGCATTGCTGATCAAGCGGACAATATCAGAGAATGTATGGTCTTCAATGGAAACTGTGATGGTTTTCATCTGGAACTCTTGGGCAAGTGCCAATATAAGCTCTGCCTCATTTAGAATTAATCTGTTTATGGTTCGACTAAATACTACAATATATTCCTCACTGGGTACCCCTTCCATGCTCACATTCAGCTTCCCCATCATGAATCTGGTGAACTGCCGGATCTCATTGCCAGAGACTAGGATGTTAGCCTTTGGTCCCTGAGGTTGAACAAAGCCGTACTGATACCATGTTGTAATTTTGGACAGTCCCACATAGGACTTGGTAAAGCAAAGAAGCCGCCCAAGGGTTTTAAGCTGCTCTTTCAGGAGAGGCTGTTTGCTGCTCAGTAGTCGGTACAGCTCAAAGTGAAGGCCTTCGCCCCAGCCTTCCATGAAAAACAGCCTGGTCTCCATGTCCAAATCTGGGAACTGCTGCATGGTGTAGAAGATTGGGAGGAGGTCATCATGAAAGACATGCATCAAGTTGTCTGGATTGAACCTATTCACAATGAGGGCCACATCAGGGACAAAAACAGGCTTTGGCATAAATTTCAGTGCTGCAGCTGGCAGCTCAACGAAGTTGAAGTACTGCGTGTTGTGGTCCTCCACAGAGGAGAGGTCGAGTAGGGCAGGCTGGAATCGCCGGGAGCCCAGGTTTGGAAGCATAATGGAGGAGTTGCTGTGGAAGAAGACAAACTCCTCAGCCTCCGTGGAGTAACAGAGAGACTCAAAACGGCAGATACGGTCAGTGTGCATCCGGCCAGTGCACACCATCCTGGTGCCATCTTCCACCAGGGCTTGAAGCGCAGCATGGTAATCAATGCGAACCTGAGAGAGTTCCTGGGACTGGCGGGTGAGGACCAGCTCCTCTTCCAGCACAAAGACGTGATCACGCAACTTAATGTATTTCCACAGCACAGCTGCAAGAACAGACACTAGCAAGGCATTAAACACGGCTGCTATGTTCATTCTGGACCCAGATCCTAGCAAGAGGGCAGGTGGTAAATGGAAAGGGAAAGGAAGACATCCTTAGTCCTCTTCAACATGGTGGAAGAAAGACCTTAAACAAAATAAGAAAAGCAGAGCACATTAAATAAACAATAAGTATAATTTTCATAATATTACCATACAGGTATATAACATGAGTGCAAATATTCATGGAGTTCCCACCCACCCCCAATTAGCTTCACAAGTACTTTAGCTTTCATGCAAGGAAAAAGGAGTGCAAATAAAATTTTAAAATACTCTTTTAAAATACTCTTGTGCTAACCCCTAACCATAACTCTACTTGGCCTACACACTATTCCCCTATCCCACCCTCATATAGCTGTGATGGGAAGCTTGTGCCAACATTGGAGGTGAATCTCAGCTTAGCATGTTGACTGAACATGGACAATCTGCAGCGAATCTTAATCAAGGTTAGCCGAAACAAACCAGCTCCATCAAGTCTAGTGTATGAGAATGGCTTGTTTCACACTAACCATATTTAAGCTTACACACTGTTTGTCTGTTTGGATAACACATCACATTGTCATTTATCAAATAGGGAAGTGAAACTCTTTCATTTCTTTGTGCTACAATTGGGGAGTGAAGGGGAAAGTGTATAGGCCCAAGGCTGATCGTGATGTTCAAATGCACTCCTTCTGTCCCCAAGTAGGGTTGTAGGAAAGATCCAAAAATCCATTCCTCGAGCATTCACAGACTTCCTCTTGTGCTCAGCCATGAGTCCACAAATACTTGTGGAACAAAGATTGCATAACTGGCAACCTTCTTTCACATCACATCCTGCGTCACATACCCCACAAACCAAGGTTGTTGGGCATAATGCAGAAGAGGGATTCCACTAGTCCAGGTCTTGATTCCCAGTTAGCACTGTGGGAATGCTGGGCACACTCAGCAGGAATCTGGATCCACAGCCACAATAAAGCGGACTGGAGTCCGAGGAGCTGGAGACTGAAGTCCAATGGATTCCCACCCCAAAACAGATTCCACACACATTGGTATTCCCAAGCATGATTAATATTGTTGCCTCGGAAAACTATCAATATGTATTCATTTCAGACCTATATAAAGATAACCTATTGTCTGAAATAAGACAAATGGCATGCTGAGACTCAATATTTACAGCCTTTCCTGGCATGGCATAGCTGCAATAGGAATAGTTTCACCTGTTGTATTTCTGTTTGTCAAAAGGCACAGGCAGCTGTCCCAGTAAACACGGCTACCCTAACCCATTTAAGATAAAAGCAAGGCTGCAATTCTACGGGAGTGAGCCCTATTTGATTCCAGAAGGCTTACTTCCAAGTAAGTATCTGCGTACGCAGCAGTGGAAGTCTGGTAAACCAGTACAATGCAGAAAAAGGAAACAAAAGAATTACAGCTTGGTCTGAAAAAAGGAACTTACACAAGCTCAGAATTGTGTGAACCTACAAGAAAGGGACAGTGCAACACACAGTAGGAATCTCCAGTTGACCTGCACACTACATTTCATCTACTTACATCAGGGATTGGGAAAGTGTGGCTCGCCAGGTGTTCTTGGACTGTAATTCCCATCATCCCCCACCATTGCCTACATTAGCTTGGGAGACAATATCTGGAAGACTACATGCTTGAAGGGCTTCGCAAAAAACCACAACCTCCCCAATCCTTTAAGACCAGAGTTAAAACTTAGCACCAACCCAAAATTCCAAAGTTTGCCTTTTTAATGTATAAATCTATTACTTATGCAAAAAAATTCCCCCAAACCCCCAAATCTGGCTGCTACGACAATGGAAATATTTGGAAGCCTTGCCACAACAAAGTGGATGTCAACAATAGACTACAAGAACATGCAAGAAAAGCCATGCTGGATCAGAGCAAAGGTCCATCCAGTTCAGCGTTCTGTACAGTTTAGTGGCAAACGGGTTGCCTAAAGGACCATTCAACCAGGAGGGGTACAAGACCTCCGTCTACCCAAGCTCCTCAGGAATTGGTGTGCACAGGCATGCTACCTCTGCAGAAGGAGGTAGCATTTAGCCAGTAATGCAAGTAGCCAGGTAGCCTCTTCTTCCATGAATCTGTCCAGTCCCTTTTTAAAGCCATTCAGATTGGTGGCCATCGCTACTTTCCGTGCCAGCAAATTCCATAGTTCAACTGTACGTTGTGTGAAAATGTACTTCCTCTTGTCTGTCCCAAACCTTCCCCCAATTAGTTTCATCATGTGTTCCCAGGGAGAGGCAAAAAATGTCTTCCTCTCCATTTTCTCTACTCCATGCATAATCTTAAAAACCTCTGTCATGACTCCTCTTACTCGCCTCTTTTCCAAGCTGAACAGCCCCAGTTGTTGCAGTGTCTCCTTGAAGGGGAGATTCTCCAGCCCTCTGATCATCCTAGTTGCCCTTTTCTGTACATTTCCAATTCATTAATACTCTTATTCCGCTTAGGTGACCAACACTGAACACAATATTCCAAGTGCAGTTGTACGAAGGATTTGTAAAGACACGGGCAGTTCTATTTTCTATTCCATTCCTATTTATGCCTAGCATGGAATTTGCTTTTTTCACAGCAGACACGCAGCGGGCCAACATTTTCATGGAGCCGTCCACTACCGCCCCAAGGTTCCTTTCTTACTCAGATACTGTCAACTCAGATCCCATTAGTGTATAGTTGTCTAGATGGGATTTTTTGCCCTGTGAATTACTTTACACTTATTGATATAGAACTGCATTTGCCGTCTTGATGCCCATTCTCCCAGCTTGAGGAGAATCCTATGGAGTGCTTCACAATCTCTTATATTTTTGAGTATCCTAAATAATTTGGTATCATCATCACAACGATGTGTTGAGCAAAAAAATTCTACTGCAGAGAACCAAATTAAAAAGGAAAACCAAGCAGAATCTGGAAGCACAAATTTCAGTTAAGCAGTGGGTTAAAACCCTCACACAGAGAAGCCCCTCAGTCTACAGGTCAGAGAATGGGGCACAAAAACAGAGCATGGTTCAGTTAAATACACATATACCCACCATCAACAGAGGAAGGGGGGAAAAACAGTAAAACAATCAGATTGAAGGATAGTGTATTTAGACCAGCCTTAGAACAGCCTTTTCCTACCTAGTACCTTTCAGGCATGTTGGACTATAATTTCCATCATCCTCAGTCAGCAGGAGCAAACTGGCTGGGGTGAAAGAACTTGCAATCCAACACATCTGCAGCACAACAGGTGGAAAAATGGCCATTCCAACACATACTATTAAAAAAGAAAAACGAATCCCGTGGGGATGGATGAACCTGTGAGTTTTAGTTTCTCTCAGTTCCTATTTTTCCATTTTTAAATCTGGTTCATCTTTAACTTTGAGAATTTCTCCAGCCATAAGTTGACTGGAACTTTGAAAATTAAAGAAAAATGTTTGCATGAAAATCCATAAGCATGTTACCCACTTTTTTCCCTAAGACATGCTTTTTCATATGCTTTTAAAAATCCAAGATATGCCTATTTTTGCAAGCTATTTCTCTAATATAATGCATATTTGTAAATAGTGCAGAAAATAACCTACAGTTTTGGATCAGACTCCACTGCAAAATCTGGAGAAGTACAAATTTTGAAGGATCAGTTTTGAGTTACAAAGTGGTTCAAAAGGGCAAAACTAGTCAAGCTCACATTAAAATGTGAACTGAGTTCATTCCTGTCTATCCCAGGCATACTTCAGCCTAAGCAACCAGCAGAATCGGAGAGATGGCAATATGATTTGCAGATCTAATAGAGCATGATTGCAATTAACACTCACCGAGGAAGTGTATTAATTTCCAGCAGCCATCCTATCTTTTTACCCCATGGAAGAGCCATCTTTGGCAGATTAGGTTTTCAAGGGGTGTATGCATGCACACCTGAGGCTGCTTCAGCAAAGGAAATGCAATACCCAGTCCAAAAAGAAAGAAAGAGAAGTAGTGGGACTTGCTTGCCATAAAACATGTTCTGGGGTCTTCCTTTTCATTCCCAATCTACCCCCACCTGAAACAAAAAGCTGCCAGGGCAGCGGGAATCCCGACGTGCCTTCCCTTTCCTCCTCCTTCGTGGGTTCGCTATCTGAGCATGCTCCACCCATCGGCGGTGTCCTATTGCTCCAGCTGGCTCACCTCAATTTGCCAGCCTCCCTGAGGTCAGCCACTTTGCTGCAGTCTTCCGGAAAACCCACAAAGGGCAGCAAGAGTGAAAAAAGGAGCCTGGTGCCGCTTTACCAAATTGCCGAGTGGGTGTCTGGGAGAGAGAAGGGAAGCTGGTTATGCTTTCGAGTGCTTAAAAAGGGGTGGGGAGGGGGGGAGGCACGTAGAGACTGGAACAAAAAGAACAGAGTGAGAAGTTCAGTTGCAAGGGAAAGAAAAGGAAGCTGAAATGTATTTTCATGCCAGCCTGACAAGTCCTTTGGCTATTTTTAGGAGCTACCCCTAGCCATGATGGTCATGGAAAGGGCTCAGCCAGGAAACATACTGAACATTTCCTTTAAGAATGTCCTTTTTAAGCAATGGGACAGAAAATCCATTTTCCTAGTTGCAATCTGCCAGGTGATTACATAGGAGTAAGCTGCTTTGATCCCACATAAGAGTAAGGGATAAGATTGCAGCCTGTGATACAATATCAAAAAGGAACAGAAAAATGTGCCTGAGGAGAAGACAAAGCTGTGACAAAGCAGAGTTACAAACAAAGCTTTTGTCTTGCGGGAGATACAGGCAATCTGAACTGGAAGGGAACTTCAGCAAGACAAGTTCTTCAGCAGGGGAATCTGCTTCCTTGAACGCTATCAAGGAAAGGTGGGCCAAACAGGTGGACTGTCAGGTGTGCTTTTTACCAGCAGGTGGCTGGACCGAAGACTATGCAATGGCTAATTTTTGGTTCTGATTCTGTTATATGCCAGGCCTTTACTAATGCCAACAGCAACACAGCAGGTCAAATTCACATATATACACACCACTGGTCAGCAGAGTCGGCCAGTATAAGACCCTAGAGGAAAGTGCACTGCAGCCTCGAAAGAAGCATTTGATCAAGCACGACTTCTTGCCTGCTGCATGAAAAAGCACCAAGTTTACAGGCCTGCCAAGGCAGAACAGCAGGCTGAGCATCTTTGCGATCTGGAAGAAAACAACAGAACCTCGCAAGGCTGGTGACCAGATTTCCTACAGCCCAGCCACTTAAAGGCTTTCAGCAAAGAGATCAGTACAGCGTGAAGAGCCTGAAATGGGGTCAAAATCCATAAGAATCAATTAACCTCTGAAGAAAAAAAGAAGAAAGGAGATGGAACTCTATTTGTTCCATCAGATCACAAATATGCCTTAGTGAAACCAAGGGGAAGGAATGGGTACTTTTCTTTGGTTCTTTCTCCAAAAGCTGTTTAAAACTGACTGAAAGAAAACATGGTACAGCCCTCTGAGGACCATAACATTCAAATTAAAGTTGTGGGGGTGGTGCTAAAGAGAGAGAGAATGACTTTTAGCTGAATGCCTCTTGTGGCATGAACTCTCTCCATCTAAAAAGCAAGCTCTAATCTAAATTTCTTCCAGACATGCTAGTTTTCTACATTTATGAAGTTTTCACATGGTAGAAAGAGTATGTAAAAATCCATAGCTAGAACTATACCATTTGAAATACAGGCTGCACAGACAGTCCCACACAGTCTTTCCTAAATGCTAGAAGTCATCTACAAGAAACTGATTTATCCAGCATGAAATTTAAAGCTTTGAACATATAAATTCTCTTGCAACAGGGACAGCTCTGTCATAATTGAAATAATGTACATTCAGAGCAAATGGACTTGCACATACCTGCCAGTGTTTGAAAACGAAAAACAGGTTGATTTTCTTATTCTTCTTCAGGAACACAATACTCAGCTTGCCATATTCCTTGTACTATCTCACTATGGCAGTTGATAAATGCTGGTCTCACTATCCTGAAAATAGTCAGTAATGGTCAATCAGATACTTGTGGATTTGCAGTTCTTCCAGTCATATCAGTAAATTTTCTGGTAAAACTTCATGAAACCAAGAACTTCTTGGTTGCTGCTTTTCCTTTCAGCCTTACCCCTCTCAAAGCAGCTCACAATATATTAAAGCAATCTGTAGTATAGAATCATAGTACAGCAGAGTTGGAAGGGGCCACGAAGGTCATCAGGCCGAATCCCTGCTGTTGCAGGTCACCTATTTACACCATCCCATTCAGATGGCTGCCCAGTTTCTTTCTGAATGTCCCTAGTGTGTGAAAGCCCACCACCTCTCTAGGGAGCTGGTTCCACTGTTGTATTGCTCTGAAAGTGAGGAAGCTTTTCTTGATGAATCTGAATCTGAATCTGGGTTGTCACAACTTGATTATTGATTATTCCGTGTCCTACACTCTGGAATCAGCAAGAAGAGATCATGACCTTCCTCTTTGTGACAGCTTTGCAGAGGGCTTACAGAGGGCTATCATGTCCCCCCTCAGTCTTCTCTCCTCAAGGCTGAACGTGCCCAGTTCTCTCAGTCTCTCCTCATAGGGCAGTGCTTCCAAACCCTGAATCATTTTTGTCGCCCTCCTCTTGACCCTCTCTAATTTTCCTGCATCTTTCTTAAATCCTGGTGCCCAGAACAAGACACAGTATTCCAGATGAGCTCTGACTAGTGAGGAGTATAGAGGAACTACTGCTTTACATGATTTGGAAGTAATACTTCCATTAATGCATCCCAAAATAGCATTTGCCCTTTCTGCAGTTGCATCGCATTGCTGGATCCTGTTTAGCCTACTCTCCACAATAACTCCAAGATATGATGGATCACCGTGGAAATGAGGATGCTGGACTAGATATATACCTACAGTCTGATCTAGCAGGAATTGTCTTACATCCTCGCATCTAGAAAGCCTCTCACAGACCCAGTTCTGCTTAGCTTCAGCAAAGTTCAGTGCCCAGTTTCTCGGGTGAGGAACAGCTGCCACATAATGACTGAAGCTGGCCTTTCAGTCATGAAACACACAGATGCATTTATATTACACTAAATCTAAATACACGCAGGATTGAACCCTTAATGGACAGAAAAAAGTCCCACAAGCCCTAGCATCCCTAAGCCACCTATGGGTGTGCTGGGCAATGCTGGAAGTTGCAGGCTCTTTATGTCTACATAAAACCTGAAGGTGTACAAGCCTAGGTTTCATGGTTTTGGCACTATGACACTGCCAAAACACATACCCTATTTTATTAATTATATTATGCTATAATAGATTTTATTATATTATACACAATTGCAGGGCGGTTTGCATGTACACACATGAATTTGCTCATTCGTGTGTCACAGACTCTGGTGACCAAGAAAATAACATAAGAGATATTTCAAGGTACATACAAGCAAAAAGAAAAATACATTTTGTTTGTTTTTAAACTTGGAAGGAGGTAGCAGACCATAAATTCCTAAGTGCTCACATTTGCAGTCTGTGCAGTAAACCATCTCCCGAGTTTTAAACGATGTAGTGACTCTATAATAAAGCACTGGTGATGATTTATTTAGTAGATGGGCCATTAATGAGTTCTGCTCACAAGTTCTGGGACACATGACTTTTCAAAGCATTACAGAAAAGACTAATAGCAATGCCTCCAGCTTTTCCTCTGAAGTTCAGAGGGAGACTAGATGGACAAGCTCCATGGGCCGAATTTCACCCATTCATGCGCTGAACTTACTTGCAAGTGGCATTAAAACAATCACATAAGAATGCAATAAACATTCAATATAAAAATAGAGATAACAGTAAAACATCACAAAAATTATACTGCAAAATGTAAAAGCCAAATTTAAACAACTATAATAGCTGACACAATTTAAAACACAAGACCTGTTTGACAGCTAACACAGTATCTCAATATACTATCTTGAGATGATTAAATGCCCTGTCACAGAGACCAATCTTAACCAGCTGCTGAAAAGATAAGGAAAGGAAGAGTCTACTTGGTGGTGGATATGAATGAGGAGTACTGAGATCCATTCCTTGTATTTACTTCCCCACACTACTTCCCAAAGGTATTTTTCCCAGCTGAGAACGAGTAAGATGGGGTAAGACAAGGCCCTCTTTCAGCCCGAAGTCCAAACCCCATTTCAAAGAAGTTCTCAGCGCCAATATTGTAGTGCTAAATGGAGCCATCTGCAAAAAGAATGGGGCCAAAATCCCACAAATACCAGCAAATGTTACCTTGGAACTCATTCTGCCAGTAACTAAGCCTCAGGAGAGGGAGTCCAAACTTTTAAAATGGAAAAAAATGCACAAAATCCTGGAACCACCTAATGGTTGGTAGTTGGGAAGCAGGTGGATTCAGAAGATGGAATGTGGCCATGAAGGAACTCTGAATTGCTGGTACTTATGCTGCAGATAAAGAGAAAACTGCTTGGGAAGAGAAGCTACAGAGTAGTAAGATATGTGTACACATGTAAATACTGCTGGCCTCACCTGTGTGTTTCTTTTGGGTTTGAAATTGGGCTCCTGCTACACTCCATTTTCTACATCAGGCAGCTCCATCCTTAAATACACAAACCTGTCAGTCATTGTCACATCTAGGTGGACTCCAAGGATGTCCTTCAGGGAGGAGAACCAGGACTGGCAGAGAGACACAATGGATGAGCCATTTCAAAAGGCAGCTGCAACAACTAGCACAGTCCACTATCGGCAGGCAAGAGCGAGAAGCTTGCACGATGCAGCCTCACTCAGCGTCAGTGTGAATCAAGATGAGTGCCAGCCAAGCCTTTAAAAAGATCCCCTTGGAATCTATAAGGTACATATGCAACAATCTGCAGCCTCACAACTAGTGAGGACCCTTATGCACCTTTTGACAGCCAGAAAATGGCAGGGTAGGTGCTCTTGCAGGCATGTTTATTCATCAGGGCCAGAACCGTAAAGCCAAACCTATTTGAAAGACTTCTTGTTTTATTTGCTTAGCTTTATTCATCATTAAAGCCTCCGGGATGAAAGCAGAGATGAAACTGACAAAGTCAAGGGGGACACATTACCTTAAGCGGTTTGGAGAACATCAATAACACTGCTGTAGGTCGTTTGTGCTCAGAGAAACCCTCCCTCCTTTGCTTCTCCGGATTTGATTTCCTAATGCAGCTGCATCACTATCAAGCCACCAGCCAGCAGTTCCAGGAAAAAGGCTGTACCATCACTAAATGAAATGGGAAGGCAGAATTGTATTTTGCCTAATAAAACTGCCTCATCCATAAAACCCCTGGCCCCAGCCATCAGGAATAACCTGTCTTTGTTGTGCACAGGTATTCACCAATACTGAAGCCTCCAATGCAGTACCTTTTGGGCACCAGAATCCACCACTCCTCTTGAACTGTATTTCATACTTTAAAAATTAATTATTTTTGTACAAGCAGGGAGGGTTGAAAGACTGCAAAGCAAAGGGCTGCCCTCCAGTGCCATCTTTATTTGGGTTCAAAATGGCGGTTTGCTTTGTGGGTGCTGAGCCCACCTCTGCTTGGACTTACGCTTGGGGGTAGGTTACTTTTCCACCCCAATTTTCCATCTGGGAAAGGAGTATTTGGTGGGCAGCCATTTCCACAACACTGTCAACATTCAAAATGTTCCAACCGATGGCTTCTTCTTCCAAAGCATCAACCTCAGCTACTTGGGCATCCTCAAATCAACTTTAAAAAATGCTTCAAGTATTTTTCTCTCACTCCTGGCCAAATAGGCCTCCAAAATAACTTGCAAACAATCACTAAAGCACAATACAATCCACACTCAATGTCTTCTGATGTATGCTCCTCTGAGTTGTGGCTAGAGTCTTACAGGACAGGGGAGGTACCTTCACATTCACCCAACCTCTTTAGATAGCCAGAAGGGCTCCTGGAGGCTGAGAACTGTAGCGGAGTGTCCACCAGGGCAAGACTTCAAAACTGTTTAGGGCAAGTTGAAGAGAAGCTTGAGGAAGCCTGCCAATAAACAGCCAAATCAGCCGAACCCTAACATCCCCATGGCCAAATCTGGTCACCTGATGACTCACCCCACCTGACTGCCATCCCAATGCTTGACATGTGCTCAGAAAGACTCATAGCTGCAGCAATGAGCCTTTTTGGTAGCCCACTCCTGGAAATAGAGTAGCTCGTATCTTTCTCAAATTGGCCCTCATACACAGGTAGCTGCTGAACAGGACAACATAGATTGCCCCTCAAGAGCTCCTCCAAAACTGAATTTGCCCTCAGGCTGCAAAGGATTTGATACTGTTCCTTTAAGGTTCCTTTCTGCAGTTGTTATTCTGGGCATGTGCACAGGATCAGAAGTGTGGGAACATGACAAAATAGGTCATGGCAGGAAAATCTAAAGTTCTGTGCTGGACCCTTTTGGCAAGAAGTGACACCCTAATCCAAAGTTGCACAGGCTACCCTTGCCTGCCATACAGGCAAACACCTGATCTGGCAAGGTGGAGAGTTCTGAAGATCAATGTTGTCTAAGGCAATGATGAGGAATGTGTGGTCCTCCAAATCCTAGCAGGGGATGATGAAGGATGCACTTCAGCCCATCTACAGTTTGCCAGATTGGTTGGGGAAGGTTGTTTTGGGTGGTCAGATTCTCAAAAATACTCCTACAAATAAAGGCAGAGATTTCCCACACAGAAACAATTACCTTCTATTTTTATTATCAATATACTCCTCAACATTCCACTATGAATATCACAATGAAAACCTTAGGAAAGGTTCTGCTTTTTTGTCTGGGTTAAGAAGAGTTCAACTGTCACCGACAATCTACTTCTCTGTTGAAATATTACACAAAGGGCGGGGGGAATCTTCCCATAGCAAAGTTATATATCTCCAAATCAGCTGTAAGTAGAAGTGAACATTTCAGCAGTGCAATTGTTCTCTTTGCAAGAATCAGACAATCAAGCATTTCTTCCTGTTCAGGGATACTACCATCCCAGCAGCAGTAAAGAATTCCTTTCTGGAGGTATTCAGAAACTAAAACAGACCACCAAACACAGAGGTGCCATTTCAAGACTTTTAACAATTCCTGTTCCTACAACATTCATTTCTGCAGTCTGTAGTCAGCAGTGAGAATTTAGCCCCTTAGCTGCATCCATGTTTTTTTCAGATGGGAAGCCTAAGAGCTTGTTTCACACTGGATCAAATCATTGGTCCATTTAGTTCATCACTGTTTACACTGACTGGCAGTAGCGCTCAAGGATTTGAAACAAGGGTCTGAAGCTGTGAGCTTCTACACCCAAGGCCACTTTTTATTTTTCACCTGTTTTTGTTCCCTTTATATTTTGTGTTTTTCTGACACTGTATGGTGAAAAACAAATCAATAAAATCAATGTAAGCACCTGTTGTTTAGCCTTCTGCAGATGATGGCTAACAGCTTTTTCAAGCAGCCATTATACTGGGGATATTGTTCCCAACTGATTACACTAGTGAGAGATTGCTGGGCAGAATAACACTGGCCTAAGATGGAAGGGCAGTCCTCTGACCATCAGTCAACTTAAGTACCATCACACACTATGCTGAGACATCCCACTGCTGTGAATTAGAGGAGGTAAGTGCACATTTTGCTCCTCTGTAGAGTCATGGCACACACAAAAACAACTCCAAAAGCATCCTCATCATCCTCATCATTAATTTCCTTTCTATACTGCCCCACAGCCAAAGCATGTGCTTGTAAACAGTCCATATGGAAGAAGAAAGATTTATACTATGCAAATGATGGGACTGATAGTTCTAGCATAACTTACTTTGGAGTAAGGGCTTGAGAAAGAAATCTTAAGAGCCAGTTCCCAATGCCCTTTTATTTTTCACCCAGGAATGCTGGCTTCAGACAACCAGGCTGAGTTTACTTATGCTAAACTAGTTCTAAGAGTGGCTGCCATGGACAGATCACTGTGGAGTGCAGCTTCCCCTAAAATGACTCTCCTGGAAATCTAGACACATGCTGAATTACTCAGGCTCAGAATTTGCCAGTCAGCCTACGCTGGTTAACTTGGCTGGAATACACAGTCAAATGATGTCTGGGGAATTTGACCCAAGTCCACCTGGGTTCTTCTTCAACCCACAAGCCTGACAATGGGCCACATTATAAACAGTGGGTAGTTATAGCCAAAAACTTTTCACTATGTGAAAGCAAAAGTAGAGTTACTTTCTCCCTGATGAAAAGCTCTGTGTAATTCAAGACCGTCAGTATTCCTACAGTCCAATTATAGGAGCTAGGTCATTTTGTTTCTGTACATAGTCCTTGTTTCTCCTGACGTCTGCCACCTAGCACAGGTGTAAACTTCAAGCGGACACCTTTTTCAAATAGGGCAGGAATGCCTCTCTTCTTTCCCACCATCATTTCTGCAATACAATCCCCAGATGAGTCTAAGAGATAGTTGTTTGCTTAAAGCTTGCTCATGATTTAATGCTTGAGATAAGATTTGAATGGAGGATTTTGAAGCTCAGACTCGGCCCTACTGCCCCAAAGTGCACAGAGTCTCTTTGGCTCTCTGCTTGCACAGGTGGATTATAGTTTTCTCTCCCCTCAACTTGAAAACATGCAGGATAGGATTCTGCATGTTTCCTTTGAAGTCAGTGCTACTGAATTCAATGGGATTTTTCCCGGATAGGTTATCTGTCCTTCTTATAGCCAGTTAGCCACTGTGTGTAGATTAAAATATTCAAATACATGCCCTTTAATTTAAAAGTGGAGCTTAGAGCTTAAGACCTCTCTCTGCCTTCTAGATCTCTCTCTCCAACCCCTCCCCAATTATTCAGCCTTAAACCCTTCTTTAAAGAATGCCTATTTATCATCAGTATGATACAGAATTATTCAATGGGGAGGCATAAAGGTCCTTCCTCCAACTCTTTTTAAATACGTAGCAGTGCCTCATAGCACTACATAACAATGTAGGACATCTAACAGAACAGACACACCACCACTTTGTGGGCTTAATTCAGGTTTGCAATCAGCCACTAGCTTGATTATCGTCTGCAGCAGCTGGTCTGAGAAATCAGCACATAATCTAGGAAACAGACCTATTTGAGATCCACAGAAGGAAATAGGCATATGATGCTACACTGGCGGAGTTATCCATCCATGATGGCTCCTGAGGATGTCTTCTAATGTGCTGATCCCAAAGCTGAGTTCAGATATATCACTCCATGAGGAAACCTCCAGTGCAAAAAAGCCATGAGACATCAAAACACAAATAAAGCATTCAAATCAACTCACCTCAACTCAGACATCAAGCCGCATCAATCAAGCATTTCATGCTTCAGGGGTGAGAGAGACTATGAGCAACGAGACATCAAGGCTATAATCCTACACGTTTCCCAAGAGTAAGTCCCAATAAATTCAGTGGGGCTTACTTTGAAAGCACATATGGGAAGCAAATGTTAAACACAGCCTGCTAGTCAATCTGGTGAATACAGAGACTGACAACAAATCACAAATGCAATAGAAAACAACCATATAGGAATCTCATGAGCAAACACAAACATAACAATTGAGATGGTGGTACCTGCCCTTAATTACCAGCTTAGCAACTTGGGCAACTGGGATGACACAAGACTAAAGAAGAGGAGCAACAGAACCTTCAGCTTCTCATGCAGTGCCCAACCTTCCCCAAACTGGACATGCTCAGATGTGTCGCACTATGATTCCCACTGCCCCTGTCAAACTGGGGATGATGGGAGTTGTAGCTCAAATCATCCAGTGAGCACCAGTTTTTGGGGAGGCAACTAGCCTATGTAAACTAAGAGATATACATGGTCTAACAATCTCCCCGTGTTGACCTGCCCACGGAACCCTGTGCTTCAAGCTGCCGCACTTAATCTCCTTTAAAGGATGGGATATTCTCCTCCAGTGCCATTTGGAGAGCACTGGCCAAGCACCGCAGGAGTACACTGTCAGATTCAATTAAGTCAGGAGGGAGACCACGACGATCCCTGGTCCCTTTCAAAAGCAGTGTTTGGATTTTGACATTTTTACAAGGCACTATGTACCACCGTATTTTTTCAAACTACATCCCAATGGAAAATCAACATCATTCTAATTCAGCAACGTCCGAGCCACCTCACCAAAACTTACTGGAACCCGCACTAGATATGATTACAGTTTGTGTCTGCATTTTACTCTTCGTAAACAAAAAGCACTCACTCCGCTACCCTCTCAGGCGGCCCCTTCAACCCCCTGTCGCGCAAACACCACACCTCGATCTTCCCCAATCTGGGGCCCGCCAGGTGCGTTGGACTATTATAAGTTCCGCCGTCAATAGGACTGGATATGATAGGAGTTGTAGCCCAACACATTCTAAGGCCACTAGGTTGGGAAAGCTGGTGTTGCAGCAAGCCTCCAAACCGGAGATCGATCCCTCCGGTCAGGGTCTGACCGCTTCTTATCAGCATGCTCCCCCCCCGCAAAAAAACCCAAATCAACCTCCAGAGGATCCAGCCCCCCACCGGGTTATTTCTGTGCACATCTGGAACGCTGGTCTTCAATAGATCAACATTCGAATCTAGGAATTCAGTGCCGTTTCGCAAGCCGTCTCTGGCTGCCGCCTTCATCCCTGCAGCACCCCCTACCGGCCAGACGGCAGAGCAGTCACTCACCTCGTGCTGCGGTCGATGATCCGGGGGATGTTGCCGCCGCCGGTTCCTAGGACACTGCAGCAGTTCTTGCCGTGCTGCCGCCGCCGCCGTCGCGGCTGCTCAGCCCCGGCCGCCGTTTTAGCAGCAGCCTGGTCTCCGCCCACTGGTGGAAACGCACAACTTTGCTTCGCGCAACGCGGCCGCCGCCTGCACTCGCGGGGCGAGATGTCCTCCACCGGTAGCTTCCTCGCCTCCGCCAGCGCGAGTGCGGAGTCGCCCTTCCTCCGCGCGCTCCTGTTTATGGCCAGTTCTTTCCGTCCGGCGGGGCACACGCATGCTCAGGCCCGGCATAGTCGGCCGGTCCGTTCTGCCCGCCGCCAAGATGCATGCCGGGGCTTGTAGTTTTCCCCTTCCTCCCAAATTCGAGTGTGGCTTTGCATTTGCCTTGTCTGGACTTCTTAAGAAAGAACTGCGAGGGGAAGCAGATGTGTTATTATTTATCATGACTATATAATTATTTTAGCCAGTTCCTTATTTGAAGCACCACGAACCTTTAGCTGCAAGAATCCTAGAACGACTTACTGGGAAGTAAGTTATATTGAACTGAATGATACTAACTTCTAAGTAGGCATGTATCACACTGTCCCGCCAAGTGCCAATGCTTAGTCCTGAAACATATACGAGATGCAGAAGAACGTAAAAAGAGCCCAGTTGGTTCAGATCAACATCCCATCTGCAGAAATAATTGTTGTTGTTGTTGATATTACTGAAGAGCTTTCAAGTGTTCAGAGCACTTCAAATGCAGTATTAAGTTGCAGTTCTTATCAAATAAACATTCTTGTTGCAGTGAGATACTTCTTGTATGAAGTACTTCTTTCAGTCTAAGCATACCAGGATTCAAGAAGAAAGTTAACACCAACCTTCTCTTTACTCAGCAGTCTCTTCAGTCTGGGGTGGAAGTTAAGAGGCATGGATTTTAGAAGGGTTTGGGAGGCTCACAACAAGATCCAAAGAACCTGTTTCTACTGCAGGATATTTCCAAGATAAATCAGTCGCAGGAAGTAAATGGTTCTACCTAAATCTGACAGCGGCTGGATAAGTTGATGGGGGGGGGGTGGCAACCAAGGCACTGCGGGACTTGCCTCCTCACTTTTCTGCAGCCAAATGCTCTGAAGCACGTGATATAAGCTGTAGCTCTAAATTGCACACAGATGTAGTCATCATAGTTACCATGCAGCCACTGAAATAAGGGAGACTTACTAGTTCTGATGATGTAAGTCCAACTTGGTGTCAGTGGGACTAACCCATATTTGGATTCATAAAAACATTAGAGGAGCCAGGCTGAAGCAAACCGACCGCCAGCCTAGAGCAGAGGAGCCAGGCTGTTCACCAGCTGCCCATGTGAGAAGACAACAAGTAAGATCGAAATGCAAAAGCATGTTCCTGCTCATGTTTCTGAGCAATTGTAATACGGAGGCATATTGTCTCTAATAGAGTGACTGCGGGATAGGAGCCGTTTATCACCTGATTGGTTGACCGGATTGCTTTTATTTGCATCTGCCTTTCTACCAAAAGAGGGCACTCAAGGTGGCTTACTCAATCAAAATGGATATTAAAATACAGTCAAAATGTAATGGTCATGGGAAAAAAAAAAACTGAAAAACATTCTCCACCCAACAAATCCGCCCTTCTTCCAAGGCTTTCTTGAATGATGTGGTCTTTGCTTGTTAACAGAAAGACAGCAGACAGGGAGCAAGCCTGCTTTCCATGGTGGGCGGTCCCAAAGTCTAGGGGGAGCCACTGAAAAGACTGTCCTGTTTCGTTGCCACCCAATTGGACTCTGGTCCATGCATTTGTCTGACCCCCTCTGAAAAGCCATCCAAGTGCTTTGGGCTTACTCGGGAACATGCAAAGCTATGTTCTAGTGTGAGCAATTTGTCAGCCCAGGTAGCTCTTCTCTATATTTGTAATATGGGAGCTGGGAGGGAGTCAGTATTTGGGTCAGCTTCATGTCTCATATCTATGGCTGCAATCCGGACAAGGTCAGTAGGGCTGACTTCTGATGGCACATATATGGGATTGCAGTAATAGTCTGTTTTAATCTGATGTTTGCAAATGCATTTCTTCAATGTTGCAGTGTCAGTCTGTATATCTGCAGCAACACACACAAGTTGGTCAAAGAATTCAGTTTGACTAGGGCAGCAGTATGAACATCCCTTTCAGTCCATTCCAGAGAAGCTCTTGGGGGCACCTGTCAGTAGATTGGGGGAACTGAAAGGAAAACGGCAGGGCCCCAAACACCAAAAATTACTTTTGCATAAAGCTCTGAGTTCCAGTGCTTAAGCCTCAGGAGAACCATACTATCCTTTTAGGATGAAGAATAGTTATGAAAGCTGTGAACCCGCAGAATTAGAAGAAAGGACACCTTGAATGGCTGCTTTTGGACTCCAAGCCTGAGGTCCGGCAGCCTAGGCTTAGAGTCATGGAGGGTTTCCTGACAAGAGTAGTGAAATTAGGGTTGCTAACTCTGGCAACAGCACTTGCTCACATGACTTTAACATCCCCCTGTTCTGCAGATCTTAGCAGGAGATAACACTTGTCTGCAAGCTGCGAAAAGATTTGTTAGCTGAGTTCTGCAGATGAGTGTGCTGTGAAATGCACAAGAGCAGGCCAAGCAGTGACCAGGGACACCCTTTCATGAGGATGGATGAATCGCCACTCCAGGCAGTGGAGCAGTTTGAATGGCAAATCAGGCACGGCCCTGCTGATACTACAAGGGCTTCGGCTGCCTTGCTCCAGCCTAGTAGTGGGTGCTTCAAAGAGCCCAGCTGAGCGCAGAATGAACTAAGGCTGGGAAGTGATTTTGTCCCCTGCCCCCGGCAACAGAACGTCTTGGACTAGCCCTCAATGTTGGCTTCTAGCAGGGAGGAATTTAAAGCATCCTTCGGTTTCTGTTGCTCAAGAAAAGAAGAATAACACTTGGAGGCTTGTAACTGTTTCTCATATCAGCTCATGTTTGTATGCATAATTAGATATTCCCAAGGTGACAAGATAGTTAAATATCCTTTCAGTAAATTAATGTCAGGCATTAACTGCTGAAGTGTTTGGCCCTGATAAGTTGATGCTCATCTGGGGAAAACTAAGTTTTTAATAGCTGAACACCTCCCACCACCCACCAGCTTGTGGCCAGTCTTTTGGTGCAGATATTTATTTACTTACTTACTTATTTACTTATTCATTTTAAACACACGCCCACTATTCAGAGAAGAAGACCTCCAGAGTAGCTTGCATAAAGTGAATGGCCAGGTTTGCAAGAAGGAAAGTATTGGTTTTGATTTCCACAATTACCCACATGGTAACAAGCCATGGGTTCTGGAGTGACTTCTTTTCCACTGTGGCTTGCTTTCTTTCCCTAAATTTGTGAAAACATTCAGTAAGAACAATAACAAGCCATTTAAAAAGGAGTGAATTTTATCTTTCTTTCCGACTCACAGCCTGGCTGGTCCTGATGGCTTCTGTGGAGTGAGAAGGGACTCGGTCCCAGTCTGGCAATACAACAGCCATCAGCAGAGACACCAAGGATGACAGTTCACTGCACTGGCTTTTGATAAGGCTAATATATTGTTGTTTTATTGTATGTTTTTAAAATTGTAACCCACCCAGGGAGCCTTATAGCTAATGGGGTGGAATAAAAGTCACATACAGACATACATATCATACCTTTTTCCCCCTTAAAAGGAGCCCCAAGTGACCTCCCTAATTCTCCCACTGCACTCCATTTTCTCCTCTCCACAGATGGCAGGCTAGGCTGAGAATCAGTGATTGGTTTGAAGTCATCCAAGGACAGTCATGATTCAGAAGGAGCTAGAAGTCATCCAAGGACAGTCATGATTCAGAAGGAGCTAGAACCTGAATCCTAGTCTAGCTCTTTAACCACTATACCATACTGTTAAAAATGGTACTTCAGTCTAGAGTCTAATAGCAGTCTCTTTTCTCCAAATGCTGGTCCTGATGTCCTCAAACCGGCACCATCCTCATGCAAGTAGGAAGTGTCAGAAGACATGGGGAGAGGACAGCAACATTTGGAGAAGTACAAGCATCCTTCAGGGGAAAAAGGGAGGGGAGAAAAACTACAAAACAGCGGGCAAAGGAAGAAGCAGTGGGCAGAGGGTGTCCCAGACAGGAGTTCCCTTCTCCTGACCCAACTAGCAATTAATTGATCGCTTCTGGGCTTTTGTACAGTTCCTGACTCCCTCCACCCATAGCAAAAGGCTGAAATGCTGAGAGGGTTCAGCTGCGACTCCAGGAGGGCCAGATTTGACCCGGAGACTAGGGGCTCTGCTCCCTGACCTATTCTCACAGCATGCTAGATTTGGAAGTCCAACACATCTTGAGGACACAAGGTTGGGGAATACCACACTAAGTTGATGTTTGCCCCAGGCAATGGAGGAGCCGGAGAAACTGCCCTCCTCACAGCTTTGAAATTCCTTTTATCCTGTTCTGTGTTTTTGGTTCTCCAAGAAGGGTGGTTCACTCATCTATCTTGTTACTTAATACATTCGCAATATTAGATTATCAAGAAGGTTGTTGTTATTGGGAGAGATTGCTATGATTCAGTTCCAGTGCATCACTCAGATCCTCCTGGAATCCACCAAGTTCCCTGCCCTCTAAATTTCTATGCTGTTTCTTAAGCTACCCCACCAAAAATTCATTTAAAAATAATTTAAAAAGTGAACTTGGGAGTCCCATTTGCACCATGTACTGAGGTTCTTAGACAAGTGACTTTTCTTTTAGCTTCCCCTGCTTTCCATCCCAGAAATGAGCATTTTGTGATTGGCCATGCAGCCATTTTTTGAAAGGAGAAAGTGCCCCTGTGGAAGCCATTTTCTGAAAATGCCCAAAACACATTTCAAGTCCAAATGTGCCCATTGACTGTAAAAAGTAGGTATGGGGGAGAGAATTACTTGCTTCACTTTTTAATGCAAATAATTTTCACTTCCTGAATTAATTCATGAACTGGAAGAGAATTAACCTTAGTTTTTCAATGTTCTGAGTTTTGTAAATCTCAAATTAAAAATACAAAAATGCGGATGGAAGGAAAATAGTGTACTGAAGGGCATATACAGTGGTAAATGACTTACTCCAAAGTGCACTGATTGGGGAGAATGCATTTAAGAAGTGTAGGAACTTTCATGTGTACAAAAAATGCACATGAAATGTGTAGACATTTTTCCATAGTCT